CGAGCAATCTAGTCAAGTTTTGGGAAAGACCCAAAAGCTTTATAAAGAGAGCACTGGAAGATCTCAAACCCTCCCTAAACCTTAACATAATACAGGACGACAAGGAGAACCTAACAGACGACCCCGACTCAATCAAGCGAATTATAAACAACCACTTCAAAAGTATACTGGCGGACAATTTATTCCCCTATTGAAACAATACCAACCAAAATCTACAAAACATCCCTAGAACCTATCAACCACAAAGAACTCGCAAGAACACTTAATGAAGCTCCAGATAACAAGACACCTGGCAATACAGGAATCACATATGAAATTATTAACTGCCTAAATGACAACCCCAAGAAAACACTTCTAAAGCTATTTAATTCTATCCTCGATAGTGAGCAGATTCCACAAAACTGGAAAAAATCAACAATCGTCCTCCTTCTGAAAAAAATCGTATGGTCAAGAAAGATCGCAGACACAAGATTAATATCCCTAATTGAGTCAGTTAGAAAAGTATTCACAAAAATTATAAATACAAGACTATCAACTACACTTGCTGAGAACAATGTCCTTTCCAAAGCCAACTTCGCTGACCTAACAGAACAAAGCACTATGGAGCCACTGGCAATTACAACCGCAAGCCTTAACACAGCCATTAACTTCAACAAAGAACTCTGGATCGCTTCATTCGACATCGCAAAGGCATTCGATTCAGTCAATCTTGATAGCCTCAAAGCGGCACTGCAAAGAATTAAGATCACTAGTAAACTGATATCTATATTTCACAATCTCCTATATGACCGGGAACTCTCAATAGCAACTAATTTTGGTAAAACAGACAGTTTCAAGATGTCAAAAGGACTAGACCAAGGCGAAACTCTCTCTTCTTTACTATGGACAATCTTCTATGACCCACTAGTGGCCACCATACTAAGCTATCATAAATACCCACAAACACCATATAACATCCTCGCATATATGGATGACGTGCTTCTAATAGCAAATTCAATGCCAAAACTTCAAGAATTTACTGACACCTTTTGCTCATTCCTCAATTTTAACAACATCAGATGTAATGCAGACAAGATCACACTTATTACAACACTCGGCAACAACAGCCCTAACAGGAATGTCCCTCTCAAAGTCCTTGACGTTACAATCACCCCTCTCCCTCACAAATCAACCATGCGATATCTCGGCAATCATTTTTCAGGCAACACTACGGGCAACCCATCTAAACACAATTTTGGTCAAAGAGCTAAACCAGACGATCACAGCCTGCAGCAAACAAAGGTGGAATGGCCCAATAGCCAAACAAGTAATTGACTGGATAATACCAAGTAAACCCGACTATGCTTTGCATTCAATCTCACTGTCCAAGAATGAACTTACGAAAATACAAGCAAGAGTCAACAATACGGTCAAATCAAAACTCAGAGTAGGGAAGACCATCTCAGACAGAATAACATATTCACATGCAGGCCTCAAGCTCCTGAACCTGACGGATAGGCAGGAGCTCACCATGTCAAAGCTACTCATTATCAAGCTATATAACCCAAAAACCAAAGCCACTATCAAAATGGAAATAGAGTCAATACAAGCAAGCCATGCAATATGGATATGCCCAATCTGCCACCTGAAAAAATTTCAAGAATGCTGGATTACCAGAGCCGCCACCACATGCAAAAAGTACAAAATCGCAGTCTGCCCACCTAAATATAAATTCAACTATTCAGAAGGAAACCAATCTATCGAACTGGCATTCCCCTTCAAAGGCAAGTCTTGGCCCGACAAGCACTTGGCCTCTACCGCAAGAACATCAAATTCCTCAGTGACCTACTAGTTTACCAGTCAAACCGCAGACTCACCTGGCACGAATATAATGCACACATAGGTTCCACACCCAAAGGCCCTATCCCAGCATGGTTTTTCCATATCAGTATTCCAAGTTCTATTCAAGGAACCTCTACTTGCATACCTAATACCAAGGCAAGATTCTGGGCAACCATACTTAACAATCAGATTATCTATATCAAAGCTAGGCACAACTGGAAAAAGAGCCACCCAATCATTGAAGGGCTACATTACTGTATAGATTCAAACAAAACCTTCATCAAATACCAATATCATAGCAGCATGCAAAAAATCTCAGCTTCAGTACAAGAAGCCATGATCTTATGGACTTACCTCAAGAATAACCAGCACCGCTTAGCCAATGCTTCAGAAGAAATTCTAATTCAACTCCACTTTAAAAAGAAACCACCAAACCTCGTACCTATCATAGAGATCAATAGAACAGATCCAACGAGCATCCTGCCTTATATTAACAACGAAATGCTTATCAACATCAAACAAATTCTTATAACAGATCGTTTCTTTGTCACCATAGACCTAAGTCTCAAAAATGAGTATATCATCGCAAAAGCGAATAATATAACAGCTACCTTCTACTCTGAACACAATGAGCACATTAGTATCTTGCTGGTTACGATCGGAGTTCTGGCAGCAGCGAACAATGACACTTACATATCACTCAATACAACAACCACTCCCAATCTAACACTACCAAACTACATCAACCGAAAAGTCAAAACAGCCTACAGTTACCTTGTGGACTGTGTCAAAACTCTTGTAAGATCAAAAGGCATCAAGCTGCAACTTAATAAACTAGAAAGAGATCCTAATTTACAGGAAAACGACTCAGTAATATGTATAGACAACTTGATAGAAGCCAACAAGTACATCACAGGGCCACAAATCAAAGATATGTGGGGATACAGTATAGTAACATGGATCAAAAGAACACAGCAGACCTACAGGCTTATCGACATTATTAACAGCTCATCAGTCAAAAAAAGATGGGACACCGCACTACAAGTAGAAACCATACAAAGCCTTGTTCTCGCAAATAACCTGCTAATTAAGAAAGACAAGTATAACTTATCTTCCTTACTAGCATTCAGAAGTAAAATCCTAAGTGGCACTCTCCCAACAAGAAAGCTTCTACACGAAAGATACCCAGCTATATACCAAGACGACCTCTGCCCAAGATGTCTAATCGCACCAGAAACCCAAGAACACATCTTTACATGTTACAAGAATAGTGAGGCGTACAAAGAGATTGAGTTCAAAATGAAATCGAAGATCGGCAAACTGCTGAAAAAAACTGACGGGACAAAAACCAACCTAAACTTCAATAGAAAATCACAACCAGAGAAAGTGGCATGTGGTATTACAGACCTCAAGAACCAGCTACCAAAGAAGAAATTTGCCAAAATAATAAACAGCATTTTAAAACTCCTGTATATACTAATATGGGTCCCCAGATCAGTGACTACAAACACATCAATAGCCTCAGGAATCAGATGGACCAAATCACAAAGCAAATCACAAAATAAAAAAGCCAGAAACGCAGTGGCTCCCACCTGTAGACAAAACCTGCTCCATCTCATTGTTTCCTCAACCAATGCACAAGATACTAACTCAAGCAATATACTTAAGTCACATGATCTAATCACAGCTCTGGAAGGATGTTAACCATCCAGCACTAGAGCCAATCTGAATTACATCAAGTGTAACAAAGATAGCAATAGTTAGCATCATAGATAGGTTAACATTAATTTGCGCACATTTCTGTACAAAGATGTTTGATGTAATTTGTGTATCAATTTATATACTTAATAAATTTTGCATCTAATGCCCTTTTACAATTAAAAAAAAAAAAAAAAAAAAAAGAAACAACATCTCTTATTTACAAAATGTAGAAAGTTAAATGCTAGCTTGCCTACTTTACAATATCTAACTAATATTGAAAAAAATTTCAAAAGCAATATTAAAGTATTAGATAAAGAAGTAGCAACTATGCCTACTTATTTAACAAATTTTGTAAAATCTTTTGAATTTTGAAAATAAAATATAAAAAAAAAAACAGTAAAAGAAAATATATATAGAGACCTATGGATCTGTAGCATGGTAGTAATGCTCCATAGATCACCAGGGAAAGGCCTAGGGTTCAAACCCACCTGGTTACAAAAATTTATTACCTTCATGATTGGTTGACCAGTTTTCAATTCATGTCATACCCAATCAGCTGAAAATCATATTCAAATTCAGTTAGGTTGCATGAAGATGGGACCTTTGGTCTTTCCAATGATCGTGGGTTGAAAACAGGTCGAAGCATGGAAGGTTGCATGAGGAAAGGCTTCTGATCTAACTTCGATAAAAAGCACACAAACTTTAATCCAAACTGGTGACGGCAGATTCCATTACACAATTCAAAAAGAGATTAATTCTAAGCTGCTCTATCCCAATCTGGAGCTTGTAGATCTATCCCAATAGTGGTGTTCCACAGAACTTAATCATATGACCGAAGGGCAAGGTATTAGTCACAGGTAGTGAGAATCTAGGTAAAAATCGTCAAGCCAAGTGCATCTAGTAAGAATCTACAAAATTAAATCAGAATTCAAGCAAGGACGCCGTTCCACAGGTGGTAAAAATGATAGTGCTGTGCTATGCTAGTGGCACATCTCGAGGATCAGTGATAACAGTGACTGGAATACTGGGGTTAATTTCTATAATAATATTTTATAATAACTTGCTCTCTGCAATAATGGACTTAGTAGGTTTAGGCAGATTTAAACTAGTGGTAGGATTCCCCCCCTGCAAAAGTTCCACCTGACGTGTGGGCACATTTATGTGGTGTTTAAATAAATATATAAGTTGGGTAATAGTGGTTGGCGTAGCTAGTCTTATAGTAATATAGGCACTTGGCAGTATTAATCTGCAGATTACAGTGCACTCTCGTTATAATGGATCTCGTTTAACCAGATCCCTTAATATAATGGAGTGTTTTACTGGAACAAAAATTTAATTATTTGTTTTCCCTCACTATTATGAATTTTTATATGATAATTCTTTATAACGGTTACGGACTAAATTATGTTATTGAGCATATAATAAGAATTTCACTATAATGGATTTGTAATCTCATGAACCAATGATATTGGTGATCTTTAATAATCTATTGTCCCCCATAACCACCACTTGTGATAAGAACTCACACATCTTTCCTTTATCGCAGGTTGGGTGTTCCTAAGATCATGTTCATTTTTAGCGACTTTCTTTCTCCTACGCACCGTCATCATGATTCTGTGCCTTTCTTCAAAATATTCTGGGTGGAACTTCCATCTATAGGGTTCACTCGGCTTGAGACAGTAAGTGTTGCATTGCTTATGTCCTCCGGAATTTAACCTCCGTTGGTGTATCACTATGTGTTCTGTCAACCTTTTTCTTCGTCCAACAGCTTTACGGTGTGACATAGTGGTACAGCTCCATTGTTTCGCCGCAGGCGCATTTATCCATGTATTCATGGGCGTGCTCTTAATCAGGTGCATCATGGTGATTTCATCATCACCCTTCCTTTGCCACCATTTCCAGATTCGCCCATTCCGTAGCACTCCTATTTCTCAGTGTGCTGATGGAGTTCTCCTGGAGTCAGATTCGGGGTTTATTGGCTTCACTCATTCGGCGGTGTCGTCTCCTCCTCCTTGATCACAATAGTCCGTGGCGATTTCCGTGGTATGTCCTCTATCACGGTCATTATCGCTTTCGGCACCATCAGTGGGGCTATCACGGCTGCTAAGACGATCTGATTCAACCTCATGGGTTTTTTGCTCAGCAAGTATGATATCATCATTGCGACAACCCGATCTTGCTTTGCGTGGGTCAGATTTCTTCCTACTAGGTTTTTTGTATTTCTCGGTCGTGATGGCATCGACCGGCACCGTCACTATTTTGTCCTTATCATCCTGAGGGTCAAACCTTACTTCTTCCTTTGTCTTCGCAGGGTTATCGTCTTCTGTTCCCTTCTTTTTGCGACATACCACCCTTTGATCTGGGGTCACCGACTTTCCGTCACCTCTCGATTCGCTCCCAGCTTCCGCAATCTTGGCGTCCCTCTCGTTGCCTTCGGGTGCTTCCACTTGCTCCCTCTCACTTGGCACTCTGGTATCTTCATCGCTAGCTGTTCGAATCTCCGCACAGGTATGTTTTGGTTCCTCCTTGATTGGTTTCGTAGCTATGTCGTTCTCCCGGGTCTTGCCTTGACGATTATTCCTCACCTTTAGGATTCTGTTTTGGGTTTCATTTGCGGCATGCGAGACTCCCGATGAATGTCCCGGTTTTGCCTCTGCTACGCCATTCCTACTGCCGTTGATGATGTCAGTCGTAGCTCGTTCGAATAACTGGGTAATGTTGTTTAAGAGTTTCTGAAGTTGGTCGGCATCCATGCTGAGCAAACTATTTTGGGGTTGGGTGGGAGTGTTGTTGCTTGGTTGTCAAAAATCTTCGTTGGTACGGGCGTCTAATTTATTTATTTTTTTATATTATTTTTTTTTTGTTTTTACTCGTTTATATTAAGATTTATTATTATTATTATTATTTTGGATGCGGTTTATAAAAAATTGGGGGGGGAGGTAACGGCTTTGCCGATATGTTGTATTACTTTCTTGATCACTTTCGTCAACTGAATTAATAGGATTTAAAAAAGTTTTACGTATAAGCACTATTAATTTCGCTTTTCAGAATACAAGATATTAAAAACTAAATCAAGTGAACTACCTTGTATGCTATAAATTCAGTCCAGAATTTTCGAAAGTTGAGTAAGCACCAACTTCCACCGTACAGTCCGTTTGCATCCAGATGCAAAACAGACTTTCCTGTTCTTACCAATGCACCGTGATACATACTTTAATATTTGACTCGACTAAGCCTGTACCAAGAATAATATCATACTTGGTTACCTTCAATAGTTGTGACATTATATCAGCAGTGTTCTTAAAAAGAATAGAACAAGTAATAAACGTTTTTTAAAAATGACACAAAATATGAAAAGCTTATATAAAATAAAAAGGTGAAATTTAATTGGTGGATCTATGTTTAATATACTGTATCTTACAGCTAAGTAATACGACAATCTACACTGCACAAAAAAATATCAAATCTGTAAATAAGAATATCATTAGCATTTTCGAAATGTTGGCTGCTGGAATTAATAAGGCACTTACTCTTGATACAAAACGCAAGCGTACAGCAATATCAGGTTTTACAAAACGTGAGATTTGCCAAAAGCTTTTCGTACCTAGCCCTCCTAAGCAAAAAGATTTGGCACTTATATATAATATATCTGAGCAAGCGGTATCTGATATTTGGTGAAATAAAGATAGGTGGCTTCAACTTAAGGATGATAGTTATAATGCACAATTAAAAAAAGAACGTTTACCAGGATTTCCTATAACTGAAAAGGTTTTGGAGAGGTGGTTACAATATGCATTTGCAAGACAAATAATATTAACAGATGAAATTCTTATAGAAAAGGCAAAAATTTTTGCATCTAATATTGGAGAAGAACATTTTCGTGGTTCAAATGGTTGGCTAGCACGATTCAAGTTGCGTCATGGAATAAGAATGTATATAAAGATTGGAGAAAGTGGTAATGCCCCATCAGAAAATAAGCTTAATGTAGAACAAGAAAGATTACGTGCTATTATTGCACAATATCCATTGGATAATGTCTGGAATGCTGATGAAACGTGTATTTTTTGGAGACAAGAACCAAAAAAAACTCTTGCTACTAGTCCTCAACAAGGTTGTAAACTCTTTAAAGAATGAATTACATGTCTTGTTGCTTGTAATGCAACAGGTAGTCAAAAATTAAAGATACCATTTATTCATAAATATAAAACACCCCGTTCACTTCGTAATGTTAATTATAATATGCTACCAGTTTCTTATTTTTGGAACAAAACTTGTTGGATGCAGGTATAAAATAAATAATATTTATTTAATTAAGAATAACACTATTTAATTAATAATTTACTAAATTAATTGTTTTA